CGGGTAACGGGTAACCGCGGGTAACCGCGTTATTAACTGAGTCATTAATATTTGAATATAAAATAGTAACCCCCCTTCCCTGAAAGAATGCCCTACTTTCCCAAAATGAAAGTCGTCCCTAAATTAATGTCCTATTTCCTTAACTTTCTTATTTGGTAAATAAATCTATACCAAACTGTGTCAAACAGTGTAAAGCAGTGTCACTACAGTGTGAAGTCAAATTCATTTCCTAATATGTGTGAAGTCAAACTAGAACATTCTTTTGGGGACGGAGGGAGTATTATAAAAGGCGAAAAATAGCATCACCTAGACGACTCTAGACTCATACGTCACTTTAAAGTTTTGTATATCTACAAGATGAAAAAGAGGACAACCTAAATTAATTTGGACCTAAAAATACTAAATCTGATAAATAATTAATCACGAAAAAACTGATAATAATCAAACAAGACTATTAAAATCTATTATGAACTTCCATTCATACACTATCATCAGTACATCTATGGTCCATATATACACAATGATAATAGAAATATATCATCATTTATTAGTTGTAAGACAAATAATAATAGATAAAAATGTAATACAAAATATAACTAAAAATAAACGGAGCGGGTAATGGGGTGGACATGTATAAAACCGTAACTGTCACATTACCTATAAAAACAAAACAAGTACTTCCCACCCCGTACCCGTTACCCGGTCACTGCGGTTTCCCCGTTTGGACCAGAACGATTCAGTGCGGGTATCCATCGGATCGGTCACAATTGTCATCCCTAGTCTTAAGAAAAACAGAGCATCACTTAGTAACTTTTATATTTTTAAATCATTTACATAGAAAATTATAACAACTACACAAACTAATCAAAACTAAGTGAAAGGGAAACTAAACTAGTTTTTTAACAGAATAGTGAAATTTATTAAAAAAATGAAGAAAAGTGAATACAAGAAAGCTCAAAAGAGGAAATACAAACTAAACTAGTCTCTTACATGGAAAATTACATCTACACAAATTAATCTCTTCTCGCACAAGCAATACTTCATATATTTTACTAATTATATGGTATATACCTAATATATGAAGTATTTACAAAATAAATTAAATATATAATCTGTTAAATTACGTAGTACGACAGTACTACGTAGTACGTATATGAGATGCTATTAAATGTTAGGTAATGGTGCGGGTAACTGTACCCGAAATAAATCGGGCGATTATGGGGCGGGTAACGGGTCGGGTAAGTATAAAACCATACCCGCCCCATTCGCCTTTTACATAAATCGGGTATTCCCCGCCCGGTACACGTTACCTATTCAGCACCATTTCCTAATTTTGTCCGGTTCAGTTCAATGCGGGTATCCGTCGGTTTACATAAATTTTCGTGTGAAAAATAAAAAATTATAATGATTCATAAATATTTCTGAAAATTATTTTCGCAAAAAACTCTGTTTGTACCCACCCCCTATTTTGCGTGTGTACACAGACAATTCGTTAAGAAAAAGACAACATTTGTCTCCGAATTGCATGTATACGCAGACAATGTACAAAAATGTGTACAAAAGTGAGTACACCAACTCTTAATTTCGAGTACTATAAAACGGAGACTACCGAGGCCGTACTGGCCTTTAATTTTCAACAATGTTTGTGAAATGTTTTTTTTTGTATGTGAACCTGGTTGATAGACAATATTTTGTTTGTGCAAAATATTGTCTGTGAATTAGAGTACAAAGACAAAAAAAACACTTCACAAACATAGGTGAGTACAAAAATTGTTATAAGAGTGGGTACAAACATCATTTTAGTTTAATTTTCTAGTGGAAAAAATGAACAAATTCACTTTCCCAAAGAAAAAAGGGAAAAGGTACATGTATACCCCTGTAGTATAGGTGGAGGAACAAATATACCCCTATTCTATTTTTCGGAACAAATATACCCCTGAACTTTTAAAAAGGTGCAAAAATATCCCTCATTTTTTATAAAGGAGCAAATTAATAATTATTGACTTGCAATTAATCAAACAAATTTAAAAAAAGACCAAAAATAAATTAATAAATCAAAATTAAAAAATAAATTTTAAAAAATGTAATTGTGTCCATTTCTCCCTTTATTGTTTTTATATCACAATTTAATATTTTAAGTATAAAATATTATTTCAAAATATGTAATTTTATAGTGCAAAGAATACAAAAAATTAATTTTTCTCTACATTGCAAAACATATGTTGCACCTTTTCGAAAGAATCTTAAAAGTAAAATTTTGAAATAATATTTCATGCTTAAACAATATTAAATTGTGATATATAAACTATAAAATGGAGAATTAGACACTATTACATTTTTAATTTTTTTTTTTTTAAATTTCGAATTTATAATTTATATTTGGTGTTTTTTGAAATTTATTTTATTAATTTAAAGTCAATAAGGATTAATTTGCCCCTTTATAAGAACATGAGGGATATTTTTGCACCTTTTTTAAAAGTTTAGGGGTATATTTGTTCCGAAAAATAGAACAGGGGTATATCTGTCCCCACACCCATACTACAGGGGTATATTTGCACCTTTTCCCAAGGAAAAAAAGAATTTAAATTTTGTGGGCCATTATTCCACTCTTCCTACCCTACTTAAAACTAGACGCAATACCCGTGCGATGCACGGGTACATCTAGAGCTGAATAATAACTTGTTTAAAATTATCTTTTATTTTGATGGTACGTAATATGCAATGTAATTATTTTAAATAAAAATACATAGCAGAGTTTATATATATGTCGTATCCTTGATTATATAATGGTAGTTTGTATTAAAAAGGAAAACGTTGATCATATGAAAATCGCAAGTCAATTTACAATAAAGGGCAAGGTTTAAGAATAAGTACTACTTTATAACGGAATACCATGATTTCACAATTTAAGTGTCTCCTGCGATGGCCCTAAGGAAGCGTTATAAAAATGAACTATCATATATGTTGACACTATACAAAAAGAATCATAACTTTTAGAAAAGTTCTTTATGGACCATATTATCAATAATATTGATAGCATGACGCTCTTAATCTCATATAAGAATATGACAATGATAATGTACAATTGACTCCTTAAGGTGCCCTTAACATGACAACGTATAATTGACTATGTGTAAAAACAAATATTGGTAGATATATGTTTCTTAATGCAGATATTATAATTGGCTTATCCTTATTATTGTGGCATTAGGTAAAAACAAATATTGGTATATCATTAAAGGCAACACCATTATTCTTTCATTGGGTACAAAAAAACCCTACCTTAATAATATACTCCAATGAATATAGAACAATTATACAATTTTAATATATTAAGCAATTAAAATTAAAGTGTGTCTTATTTTTAATAGCGTAAAATTGTGAAGTGTTGTTCCTACTTAAAGCATGTATGGTAACACCATAATTGGTCGAATCGGTTAATTCTGCTGAATTTGAGATTATTTATGAAATTAGAGTTAATTAGTTACTACAGGACCCACAAAAGATCATATTATTTCGGGATGATGATTGAAGGTAATTCGGAGGGGATGAGACAATTTCTAAAACATTATATTTATGTGGCAAATTTTAGAATCACAAATAATCAAATTATGTTAGAATCATGAATGTGGATACTCTAACTGTTGTCACTCTAGGCGGTAATTTTGGAGCCAAAACTTGTGACACTCTGTCACTTTATATTATATAAAGAAAAGATTGTATGCAAATTTTCTTATTTAAGATGATGTCCTTATTCAATATTTCATACCTTCTTTGAAGTGTAGGAATTTACATTTTTATTTACTATTCTTATTTTAGTTATGTATTCGAAGTTTTTCCTGGAGTATTACTAATAAAAAAATTATGGACAAAAAATGACTTTATAACTTTTAGTGAATGTAATTGTGTTCAAATATCACATCATAGTCACTATATTATAGTAACTTTGAATAAAATTATAGTAACCAAGAGTTACCAAATTACATTTTTGTTCATAACTTTTTCAGGAGTAATATTATATAGAGTAGATTTTTTCCATATATTCATCATTATTTCAAAATTAAATCATTTGATTGCATTGATTAGTTTTTATTTGTGTCATGTGTAATAAAAAATGGATAATAATAAAATTTTTGTTAGGCCATCCCCATTGTTTAGATTATTTAGAGTTTAATTGGATGATGTGTAAGATTATTTTAAAGGTTATCATTGTGAGTGAGAGATTATTTAGAGATATTATTGAAAATGATAATCCGGTATCAAGATTTGAATCCCGGATTATTTTAGGTTGTAGTTAAATTTCATTTAATGCATAATCTAGAAAAACTAATTATTTAAATATCATGGTTGATGGAGAATTTTAAGATTCGAGATTATTTAAAATTTATTTAATAAATGTGATGTGGCATTGATGTGTCATAAAAAACCATTTATTTTAAGATCATGAATGGAGATGTTGTTATGCATTGAAGATCAAAGGAAAGTAATGAATGATTACATTGTCTTACTCTTACACTTTACACACGTTGCTCTTTATTTGGTTAGCTCCTTTTTTTATTTATTTGGTTAGCTCTTTAATGGCAATAAATGGATCGGATTAAATGCTCCATTAATGTATAAATTTGTCAAGAAACCCATACGTATTAAACAGGCTAATTTCAAGACATACGAATTTACAATTATATCCTTCATTTTAGCGGCAATTTTGGCTCCAAAAATTGTAGACACTTTATACTTCCTCTGTTCTCTTTTAATTGCAACAGTCAATATTTCACGTTTGCCAACACATAAGTTTGATCATTAATATCTTTCATTTCTTATTAGTAAAAAATTAAAAAATTCATATTTTGAAAATTTAGAATGAGAAGAATTTAACAATATTTTTTAAAAATTTATTTTATAATACATTAATAAATAAAATATAATCAAAGTAGAATATGTGAATAGTATAATAATATAAAGAGAACCCTATATAAAGATTTATCTTCTCCCGAAGAACTGAACTGCCCGTCTGCCACACATACAGTTAGTTCTCCACTCTCTCCCCTGTCATTCCGAATTCAAGCTTTTCTCCCACAGTCCGACTGTTCCGACAATTCACTCTCCGGCAAGAACTTATGGTGGTGCCGGAAGTTACCTACTTTCCTTGCGACGGGGACGGCGTCTGCATGAGATGTAAGAGGAAGCCCTCAGCTAAGGAGACCTTGACTTGCCACTCATGCGTCACTCTATGGGCCGCCTGCCTCTCCGTCTTCCCGGAATCAATGCACGACGCTTCCCTGTGGGAATGTCCGGACTATTCTCTGCATTTCACAGAAGATAATGATAAAGCCGTCACCGGCGGTGCAGTCTTGGTCGTCGGCCGGCGACCTGATTGCAGGGCTACGACCCATTGAGGCCGATGCGTCACTCACTGTGCAGCTTTCCGACAACAGACCCGTGAAGGTGAGCTTTGCTACACTGTTTTTTTATATCAGGCGCCGTTTGGTAGATCTCAAATGGGATGAATATACAGAAATTTATGAAATTACTATAGTTGAAAGTTGAAACGGCCGGATTGTCTCAAGAAATCTTATGTTTAAATTAAATTTGTGTTATTAGAAAAGAAAAATGGCTTAAAAAAAGATCACTACATTACCTCTTTGAACAATATTTAAGGAAGAAATATCATGGACAATGAATATGACAGAAAAAGGTACTCCCTCCCTCCCTGAATTTACTTCCGTAGTACAAATGACACACGTATTAAGAAAGTGAGAATTGTGTGGTGGAGGGTTGTGCAGAGGAGAGAAAAATGTATAAGAATTGCCGTGAACCACAATTTTTTTGCCAAAAAGAGAAAGTGGAGTTCTTTTTGGAACGGACGAAAAAGGAAAGTTGAAAGTAAATTCAGGGACGGAGGGAGTAGAAGAGATTGTGAAAAAATAAGAAAGAGAACATAAAAAGTAGAAAAAAATGGTAATTGTGTAATTTTAAAGGAAAAACTTACCAAAAAAAGAAAAGTTAAACTTTTAAATACATCCCAAATGAAAGTACAGTAAACTTTTAGATATGAAGAGAGTACTAAAAAGTGTTTTAAATAGTCTTGGACATCAAATTAGTTAAAAGAGGATCAAATTGGACATCAATAGTCTTGGACATCAAATAATTTCAAATTTACTCATTTTAATTATTACATAATCTAGAGATTGAAATAAAAAGAGGGTTGTATTTGCTATGTTAGTTAGCTCAACAAATTGAAAGGGTGAAAATAAATGTTATCAACAAAAGCAATAAAACAAAAGTAAAACAACCCAAATTGAGAAGAAAAAATAGGTAATCTACAAAATGAAATCAACATCTTAGAAAAAAACTTTCCACTTTGCTCCTCCCATGGTTGTTGTCTATAGGAAAAATCAATCCTTCCTCTTCGTTGATCACAAGTTCAAAGTGTTCTTTGTATCGACACATGAGTTGAACAACAATTAGGAGAAATTCTCCAAAATAGTCGATAGTCTATTTGACTAACCATCGAAAAGAAAATGCATTCAAACATCAAAGTTCTCTCAAAATTTTACAGTGGTTTGGGAGGGGTTGAGTGCCCAAGAGCATGTAACTGTCTAAATTTTAGAAAAATTGTGTGGACCAAGCCTTGCCAGCCACAAACTCTAGACGAATCAAATGAATTGCCGCCACGAAAAAACATTTGTCATGATTAAAGAAGAAACAAAGAGACGAAGAAGCTGATCAGCTAGCGTTTACACCCGTTTCTGCCCGACCACAGTTTCGAGCGAGTTAAGACCGAAACCGGTTGATTCTTGAGATCGGACCGTAACTAGTTTTTCTAATTCAGTCTTGGTACCTATTTTTGGAATTCTCCCATTATATTAGAAATTGGTTAACATTAACGTTGTCATAAAATTGGCTTTGCATTAATTTTAAAACTATGTCCAATATAAGATTTGATGGAATATATTTTTATACGATAGTATGTTCCAAGGGTTACAATAAGACATGAATAAACTTTCGCAATTGACTAGGACAACATTTCTAGTTGAGGCTATGCTTGCCCCTCTGGCTGAGGATGAGTTTAAACCTGGTTCTCAAATTGACGAAAGAAGTCCAAAATTGCATCCTAATTGAGCTAGTCATTGAAGTCGAGCTAAGAGCCGAGCTTCATCAGATTTGAGCTGAGCTTCATATCTGGGCCAAGCAGAGCCGAGCTTGGCACACTACACATATGTTTGTACTTAGTCATTTAGCACCAATAATCCAGACAAATTGAAGATAACGTCAACGAGGAATAACTAACTCTAGGACTGAAGGCAACAAGTCGGTAGTCGGTACTAACAAATTGGCTGTCACGCTTTACACGTGTCACTTATCCAGACGTTCTGTTATCAAAGGATAATTAACCATACGACGTACAATCAATCAATCAACCAACATTTCTCTCATCAATCAGCCTCAGCTCGTTCTTATAAGAGTTGTCATTTACTTATTCACCAACTAGTAAGAATTCTCACTATAAATAGTTACCTTCGTCGCATTTGGATGTTACGTTTTATTAATAACCTTTAATGTATTGTACTCCGTATATTTGCATTTGAATTTTTAATTTTATTATACTTTTATAGATAGTTCCAAGGGGTAATTTTAGTTTGCACCCCATTTTATTGTCCAAATTAGACTTTGCACCTCATTTTTAAAAACATTTGTATTTGCATCCCAACCCTGTATGAAAAAACACAAATGCCTCTTCATTAACAATTCAGTTAGCCTTCATTACATTCCTGATCGAGGGGCACTTTTGTCTATTCATACTGGATTGTGGTGCAAATACAAAGTTTTTACCCCTAATTCTAATTGTTGCATTTTATTAGTATATGCTTCGTATCCTATAAGATAAGATATTGCTATGTAAAAAGTATTCACAGACATCTAAGTTTGGTTATGCTTGAGATATATGGAGTATATGTATTCAAACACATGAGAAGTAGCATATATAATTAATATGAAGCTTCGATCCACAGATTTCACGCTCCACTCATGATCTGCACACCCCAAACGCATTTGATGAATATGATAGTGAAAGTCAAAGTGTGGGAATCGGACGATCTGAAGTTTCTGAAAAGAAAATTGCGAAGAAAAAATGTAAAGAAAGAAGCAGAGAGATGGAACAAAACTCAGTAAAAAGATTCAAACACGATGACGAGATGAAGAAGTTTAAAATGAAATGGGATGCGCTTGGAAAGAATTATGTTAAGTCACTAATCATGAAGACAGATTTTGAAATCATGAATGTAGACTTAACAAGGTTTTCGCCAAGGAAGCAAATATGGTTAAGGCAACAACAAAGTGCTATCTTGAAGTACATTCAAGATTAACTTATTTTGGACTGAAGCTCCCAAAGCTTCTATCTATGGCCCATGAGGCCATGACTACTTTTCAGTCAATGATAAGAACTTAGTTTTATTATGTAATTATTATGAAATGTTTAAGTTTAAGCTTTCTACTCTTCCTTATGTAGTTATGTTATTCTACGTGATGCAATTTATTTCACATTTTCTGTTTTAGTTTAACTTTCTTTAGTACAAAGTGAAGTTATCAGAATATTTAAGGAGTATATACTATTCCGCTATTCTTAATTTAACAGATTACGATTATTATAAGCAGCCAATAAGACTCGTGGAGATTATGTCTTTAATACACCTACATAAGAAAATGGAAATGAAAATTAAACTTTATTGGGTGTATATATGATTATATGAGATCCACCTCCTCAATCAAACTTGCTGCATCATGAGCTGTTTTACTACAATTTCCTTTTACCCTGTAATTCCAAACTCTTCCACAACCGGTAACTATCTAAAGCTCTAAACCTGAAAAACGGAAAGAAATGGAAAACATTATCAGAAATAGGAGCACAAACTGGAGAACAACAAGAAAAGAAAAAAAGAATGGTCCAATATCATAACACTATCTTCTTCTTTTAGAATACATATCATGACAGTTTTGCGTTGGAGTACATAATATAAAAAAATATAGAACAAATACACTAGAATTAAGAGAGTTAGCAAAGAGACTTATTGATATCCATCCACATAGAATATTTCCAAATTTCAATAGACTTGGCGCTCCAAAACTCACTTTTACAAGTGACCATCTCAAGTATAGTTTTTTTTTTTTGCGTGATCTCAAGTATAGCTTGTTAAATAAATAGATATGAAACAAAAAGGTTTTAATCATAAAAGATATATCTCACTGCTGCAAAAGGTATTCTTTAATACTACTAAGCTAATGGAGACCAGTATCCAAGTCGAAACATTCCCATCAGGTTATTAAAATACACAAAACTTAGGAAAACTGACATGTAGAGCACATCAAAATAGAAGATGCAGTAGAAATTTCGGAAAACGAACCATAAGTATTGAAGTAACATGAAATGATACCCTTATCAGCTTTTCAATATGCAGGGAGGGTATTTGCACTGGCCTGTTAACCACCAAGTGATCTCATGAACTTAGCCTTGTGCACTGCGACCACAACATACGTCCAATTAGCAAATTTTTCAAGGACTTTGAAAAATGCAAACCTACAGGACCTGTTGAATAGCATTGTCCCAAGAACTCCCAAGAATCCAACCGCATATCCGACCCCTATGCTTGCATAAAAATCACCCCCAATAAGCTTATCATCTTCTTCTCTATTAGAAGCTCCTTCTTCTTCACTGAATTGATGAGGAGAGGGATGAGTTGATTCTTCTCCTGAACAGCTGTTAAGGAGTGGATCTCCACATAGTGCGGGATTCCCCATGTATGCACTTGCATCAAAGCTCTGAAGTTGTGTGCCTTTGGGAATTTTTCCGGATAAGTTATTGTTGGAAAGATTAAGAACACCTATGTCATCAATCAAGGCAATGCTTGGAGGAATGCTACCAGACAAATGGCTACTAGACAAATCAAGAAAATTCAATTGTGTCAAGTTACCAATCCTGGAAGGAATCTGTCCCTTTAGATTGTTTCGTGATAAGTTCAAAGAAACCAACGCATCAAGTAATGTGATTTCAGTTGGAATTTCACCACTCAACACGTTGGATGATAGATCAATACTCTTTACGTCTCTTAATCTACTTCCAAATTCAAAGACAGCACCTTTCCATGTAATCTCTATTTTGTCATCTTCTGCAGTTTCTTTATACCATGTTTTATTTAAAATGGTGAGTGAATGATAACTCATAAGAAATGGTGGGAATGCCTTTTGTTATATTCATCATTTGAGTGAGATTAGACAGACACTTGGGAATAGTCCCTGAGAGGTGGTTCAGGGACAAGTCTAACAGCTGAAGAGATTGGAGACGACACAGAGTGGTGGGTACACTTGCATTGAAGTTGTTGGATCTGAGCACAAGTATCGAAAGTTGTGTTATACTTTCACCCACCCAGTCTGGTATTGGTCCAAACAAGTTGTTGTGTCCCAGATGTAAAGATATCAAGCGGGAGCAGTTTTTCATGGATGAAGGTAGAGCGCCTGTAAATTTGTTATGGTCAAGATGCAATGCCTCCAGGGAAGCAAATGATCCAATGGAAGTTGGAAGAGTCCCTGACAGATTGTGATTTTTTCCCAGGTTCAGAACTTGCAGGCGAGGGAATCTTGACCAGCAATTTGGAAGTGTTCCGGAAAGGTTATTGAATGAGATATCCAGAAGCCGCAAAGGAGAAAATACCTTGAGGTCACATAGGTAGTTGAGATCAGTGAACTTATTCCCAGAAAGGTGCAGTGCTCCCACATTGAAGAAAGTGGGTGGAATGACACCTTCTAATTGATTGGAATGCATATCTATCCTACCACCTAGGAGTGAAGCTTGAGCACCAATTCCAATTATTCCCTTGATTCGATTGTTAGAAACATTAATATTCATAAAGTGAGTAAATGTATTCCAAAACCAGGTGGGGATTGAATCTGAGATGGCGTTATTGGAAATGTCAAACACCTTACAATTGGTTTGAGTTCTAAGCCAAGTCGGAAACTCGGGTCCCAACCTGCAAGAGCTAAGGTGTATCTGTTCCAAGTTGAAAGGAGGAAGCCAAGTAGAGGAGACGTTAAAAGTGAAAGTGTTTGAAGATAGGTCCAGGTATGATAGGTTAGACGGATTAGCAAAGTGATGTTCAGAAATGACCCTATCTATGAGGGTATTCGAAAAAGATAATGAGTCCAAAGAGGAGAAAATCGTAATATTGGGAAAGAGCCCTGTGAATGGGTTGTCGTTTAAGTATAAGTCCTGCAGAGGGTGATATGGGCATATTGTGGTTATGAATAGGCTTCCATTAAGACGGTTGGAATTCAATGCCAGGTATTGGAGAGTGCATATGTTCCACAAGGATTTGGGGATTTCTCCTTCAAGTCTATTCCAGCCAAGCTCAAGGTCTTCAAGGACAGACATATTTCCTAGAGATTCAGGAATGTGACCTTCAAACTGATTCAATTGCAGGTTGAGATGTGTGAGGGCACGCAGGTTGTTTCCAAAGTTTCCAGGAATGGAGCCATGTAATTTATTAAAGTCGAGATCAAGCCATTTAAGGGCAGGCATGCCGTTTCCAAAATTTTCAGGAATGTTGCCTTCTAAATTATTCCCACACAGAGAAAGGAATGTAAGGGCAGGCATGCAGTTTCCAAGACTTTCAGGAATGAAACCCTGTAAACCATTTTCGCAGAGATCAAGGACTGTAAGGGCAGGCATGTTGTTTCCAAAATTCTCAGGAATGGTGCCAACAATTCCGTTGCCACGAAGACCGAGCTCCTCAAGGGAAACCATACTACTACCGTTATAGTTGTTCCCAATCAATGATGAGATGCTCTGGTTTGCCAGCAAGTCGTAGTTATCTTCTTCACTGTGGTTGCGCCAGGAGCGTAGCTTGTTCTTCTTGTCAACAACGCTGTGCTTGAAGTTGAGGAGCACTTCCCTCTCTGCATCAACGCATTTACTGGCAGCCCCACTCATCGCCACCAGCAGCAAGCAGCTCATCCCCAGTGCTATTGCCGCGGCTTCAGTGGACGACCCTAACAATACCAATCTACCCCCCATTCAACTAATTAAGCTAGCTAGCTGATTAAATAAGCTATTTGGATACTTATTTAAACTAGCTTCCTCCCACTTTCTCTTGTGTTCGTGTGTGAACTTTGAAGAGTAGTCCCAGTAGAAGTATGACTACGTTTTGCTATATCTCTGTATGTACTGTGTACGCGTGCATATCCATACCCGTCTTTTTACTTGGTTTCACATCCGCGCCAAATTCGATTAAACTACAACCGGCCAAATTAGGGATATGTGTAAATATAGGGGTTTTCTTCCGACATGGACCGGTTGAGTTTCTAAACAAAATACTATCGTACATGGAACGGTTTCATATAGGGGTAAATAAACAAATTATCTCTAAGGGATATGTGTAAATATAGGGGTTTTCTTCCGACATGGACCGGTTGAGTTTCTAAACAAAATACTATCGGTACATGGAACGGTTTCATATGATTTTAAATATAGGGGTAAATAAACAAATTATCTCTAAGGGATATGTGTAAATATAGGGGTTTTCTTCGGACATGGATCGGTGGATATATGGGGATTTGGATGCGATTTTAAAACTGCGATTTGCGCTTGCTTCAATTTTAAAAAAAATGATTTTTTAAAATGATTTTATAGAAAGTACTTAATAGTAAAAGTTGGTAGTGTTTGAGAAAAAAGTGATTCTGAAAAAGTAAAAGTGGGTAGTGTTTGGTAAAATAAATACTTTTTGTGTAATAGAAAAAATGAAAAGCAGTTTAAAGGAGTATTTGAGGTTGCTTCAAATAAATGTGATCCCCAATAGTTTCCTCGACAAAGATGTACAATAAATGATTGCCAGAGAATTATCCATGGCAAATTCACAGTATAAATGTGACATGATTTTCAATATATACATGACCATTCCTTATGATACTAGGGGAGTGTTTGCAATTGCTTCAACTTTAAAAAAGTTATTTTTTAAAGTGATTTTGGGAAAAGTAATTAGTAGTAAAAGTTGGTAGTATTTGAGAAAAAAGTGATTATGAAAAAGTAAAAGTTGGTAGTGTTTGATAAAATAAGTACTTTTTGTGTAATAGAAAAAGTGAGAAACAGTTTAAAGCACCCTTCTACCTGCTTCCAACTTTTAGCTTTTAAGTGATTAATTTAAGCAGAAGTTGTCATTTAAAAACACTCTTTTCAACTTTTTTTTATCCAAAAGTTGAAAAGTGCTTTTTTTAAGCAACCCCAAACACTCCTTACATCTTGTGGGCTATTTAGAACTTTTCGGACATTTCTAAAATATTATAATAGTGAATGAGGGTTAATACCCTTTTGGGTATAAATTTTTTGTTCGTGTCATATTACAGCTAAACAAAGTTATACATGAGGTTGAATGCATTGTACCATTCTATTTCATCAGTTGTCTCTCCCTGTGCTTTCCGTTAACCAAAGCTCAATCAACTTCTTACGCCATCCAAAATCCTTGCTCCTCCGTTAATCTTAGTCTTCGAATAATATTCC